CTGAGGATATAAAAGAAACGGCTTAAAGGTATCTTTGTTTTCAAGATCATAACTCACTTTGGTGGTGGAAAATTGTCTGCGTTTGGTTTGATCTATGATTCTGTCGAGAATGCAAAGAAGTATGAGCCAAAATACAGGCTAATCAGGCATGGACTCGACACTAAGGTAGAAGAATCGAGAAAGCAACTGAAGAAAAGGTAGAACAGGGCGATAAAAATCCGGGGAGTTAAGAAGACCTGAAGACCAAGGCTTCAGATGCTGTCAAGGCATGAAAGAAGAAGATATGAGATTGCCGGAATTTTATGGCTACCACCAACAATCATCTGCTGAATTGTGTTTTTTTAAGTAGTCTCTTCAGTTTTCTTTTCACCCCCAAGAATTATTGGTAGAACCTACATTTTCCGATTTGGATAGTTTTACAAACGAACGATACTTTTTAGGCTCCCATTTTCTGTTGCTTCAATAAATACATGATACTGCAGCCTCATTTTCTTGTTATGCATGCGAATAATTTATATAATCCTACAATGTTATATTTTGAAGTTGTATAATTCTTTGAGCTCTGCTATAACACAAATTGGTTGACAGGTGGGGAAAAAATTATCGGAACTAATTCGAGATTCAGGGAGCCAGATATCAGGAACAGAGCAAGGTAGGTGGCAAGCGGAGCTTTCCCAGGTCGCTATTGAGCTTATTTCAGTAAGTACCTTTCTCTCCACAATTTTCCAGTATTCCGACTTGTATTTCCATTTCTTCATCATTCATTGAGAGAGAACTCCCCTTACCTATATAGACGATGCATAATGTCACGGGGTAAAACTGAGTTCATACATTAAATGCGTTCTGTTTTCATATGATTTATGCAACTAAACTTAACAAACCTAGCTTTTGAGTGAAGATTGGACATGCATACAACACAACTTCATATTCGGAATGTTTTCATAGCAAGATATTGCTGTTTTTTTGTTAAAAAGAGTTATTGTTTCTTTTTTCTTTCTATCCAATCAAGGAACTGATTATGTTATTCAATAATGGTCACAGATTGTAACAAATTCTGGGCGGGCCAGTGCGTTGGCAGCTAGTGATGCTGCTACCCCCACTTTGAGACGGATAGAAAGAGCAGCCATAGCTGCTGCTACGCCTATCACTTACCATTCCAGGTAGTTGCTGATTTATTTTGAATGTGGATTTTGTGCTATGGTTAGAGAACACCTTGTGATTGTGTTGGCTTTCTCATATGCTTGTGTAATATTTCAGGGAGCTTCTTCTTTTAATTCACGAGCATCTTCTAGCTTCTGGATTAAACAAAGCTGCCTTTGCGCTGCTGAAAGAGGCCGAGTTGACTCCTTTACCTCTTTTAGCAGCTCCATCATCTCTTGCATACCAAGACTCCAAGCTGGAGACATCCTCGACCCAACTGCAGTGGCCCTATGGTCGATCCCCATGTGGATTTCTGACTGATAAACTGAAACTTTCTGCACGAGAAGAAGATACAAGTTCGAAATGTGATTTTAGCATGTCTTGTCCAAGGAAAAAGCCAATAGTCTTCTCCACTCCTTTTAGTATGCATTCAAAGTCTCTGCCTAAATCCCAGGAATCTTCTTCCTCAGCAGTTAGAAAAATTTCTAGTACTTCAAAACAATCTGCTGCGCCTCTATCTTCAATCGAAACAACCCCAATCATCGACACTGAGTCTCAATGTAAAACACCCATTATATTGCCAATGAAGCGGAAGTTGTCGGAATTGAAGGACACCAGTATCATGTTGTCCTCGAAGCGACTTCACTCTAACGAGCCAGGACTCCGATCTCCTATTTGTCCTACTCCTATTTCGTCTCGCAAAGGTAGTTTGATTACAGATGTTGGGTTTTCTACCCCGAGCACTACTAACATGAGAGATCAGAATGGACGTCCAATACCTGGGGGTTTTTGGACGGATTGTTTGGATGACAACCAACAAGGCAGTTCCCAAGTTGGTTTGGTTACACCATCATCGCATCCTGGGAATCCAAGTGATCCACAACCCAGCAACAGTGAGAGGCTAACTCTGGACTCCCTTGTTGTTCAGTATCTAAAACACCAGCATCGCCAATGTCCAACGCCGATAACTACTCTTCCACCATTGTCTCTTTTGCACCCTCATGTTTGTCCTGAACCAAAACGAAGCCTTGACGCCCCATGGAATGTAACATCTCGCCTTGGATCTCGTGAATTTAGAAGTATATATGGTGGTGTTCATGGAAATCGTAGGGACCGTCAGTTTGTCTACAGCAGGTTTAGGCCTTGGCGAACTTGTCGCGATGATGCTAGTGCTCTTTTGACTTGCCTTACTTTCCTCGGGGACTCGAGAATTGCTGTTGGTAGCCACTCAGGGGAGGTCAAGGTCTTTGACACCAACTGTAGCAGCATATTAGAAAGTTGCACTAGCCATCAGTCTCCTTTAACCATAATGGAGTCATATACTTCAGACGACAGTCAGCTCGTGCTTTCATCCAGCTCCTTAGACGTAAGGTTGTGGGATGCATCATCCATTTCTAGCGGGCCAATGCATTCATTCGAAGGATGCAAGGCTGCAAGGTTTAGCAATGCTGGGAACATTTTTGCTGCAATGGCATCCGAGCCTGCTCGAAGAGAAATACTTTTGTATGATATTCAAACCTGCCAAGTCGAATTGAAACTATCCGACACCAATGTCAGTTCTGCAGGTCGAGGGCATGCTTATTCACACGTACACTTCAGCCCTTCGGATACAATGTTGCTCTGGAACGGAGTGTTATGGGATCGACGTGGACCAGGGCCCGTCCATCGCTTTGATCAGTTCACTGATTATGGTGGTGGTGGTTTTCATCCAGCTGGCAACGAGGTAAGTCGTTTAACCCTCTCCCTCTTCTATTGCCATCTCTTTGATTATAGTTCTTTTGTTTGCTGCCTGTAAATAATCTTTTCCTGGACTTCTTTGTAAGTCACAGAAACATTGAAATAGCTAAGCTAATTCAATAGCTTGAGCTGCTTTAATTCTTCAGTTTATGATACCAATTTCTATCGTGGAGGAATCTGCGCCAATATTTTTGTGATTCTTATATAATGCGGAAGAACTCTTTACTATTTTCTTTTTAGTTTGGCCATGTGTCGATGGGCTATTGGTTCCTAGGTCGACTCTTTGGTTCCGAAGTTTGTTCATAGCATTGTGTCAAATACTTAGTTTTTTCTTGATATCCTTGGCCATGCTTGCAGGTAATTATTAATTCCGAGGTCTGGGATCTTCGAAAGTTTAGGCTTCTCCGCAGTGTACCTTCGCTTGACCAAACAGCGATTACATTCAATGCGAGTGGTGATGTAATTTATGCAATCTTGAGGAGAAATCTTGAAGATGTTATGTCAGCTGTTCATACCCGTCGTGTCAAGCATCCGCTCTTTGCTGCATTTCGAACCATCGATGCAGTGAACTATTCAGATATCGCCACTATTCCTCTAGATCGTTGTGTCCTAGACTTCACAACAGAGAAAACTGATTCCTTCGTTGGTTTGATCACAATGGATGATCAAGATGAAATGTTTTCTTCAGCAAGGGTCTATGAAATTGGTAGAAGAAGGCCCACTGACGATGATTCGGATCCTGACGATGCTGAGAGCGAGGAAGATGAAGACGAAGACGACGGTGACGACGATAGTTTGGATCCAATTTTGGGTCCTGATATTGATGGGGATGGTGAGAGTGATTCTGATGATATGAGTAACGACGATGACGACAGTGTGAGTGATCTTGATGACGACGACGTTGACTTTGTGATGGATGACGTTGACTTTGAGGGTGGTCCTGGAATTTTGGATATTTTGCCAGAAGAAGATGATGAGGATGATAGTCAACTGATGGAATCATTTAGCAGTGAGGAGGATGAGGATTTTGTCAATAACGGGTTTGGCTTTTGAACATTACAGAAAGAACAATCAAAATAATCAGGTTAACCTTGATGTTCTTATTTAGTTTTTAGTCAGTTTTTTAGTCCAAAATATCTTTATTTTAACAATTTAATCAGATAAAGGAAATGAAAAATGAGAAATTCTCCCGTTTTCAATCTCTTCGAGTCCGCTGGTTTTGACCTTTGTTTTTTTTTTTTCCTTTTTTTGATTATTATTGCCAAGATTTTGTTTTCTTCTTTTCTATATTTGTAATTAATTTTTTTATTTTTTTATTTTAAAAAGGATCGTTCTTGAGTTTAGTGTTCATGCACAAGCAAAGTGGATATATTGGTGTCGTTAACCTACCTTCTTGTTTTGTATGCTCATTTTGTGTTATTTAACTTGGACAACAATTATTCCTCGCATGAGGACGCTTCATTCAAATCCCTTCTAGAATCATCTTTTATCTCTAAAATTGGAGCATTACAATATCCTTTCAATTGTGAAATTTCTAATAGAGGAAAAGAGAACGAAACATTTTTAAGGGTGTGAAAACTTATCTCCAAAATTAGAGCATTACAACATCGAAATCTCATACTGGTCAGATAGAAGAGCGAAACATTCTTAAGGCCGGGAAAACTTATCTCCAAAATTTCAAAAACCTATCTCCAAAATTTCAAAAACCTATCTCCAAAATTTCAAAATTAGAGCATTACAACAAATTTCAAAATTAGAGCATTACAACATCGATAGGAACGAAACATTCTTAAAGGTGTGAAAACCTCTCCCCAATGTATTTTAAAATCTTGAGGGGCACGTTTTAAAATCTTAAAGAGAAGCCTAAAAAGAAAAGTCTAAAGAAGATACTATAGAATAAAGCTCGAACAGAAAAGTTAACAGGACTATCGGTAGGATTGACCGGTTATCCTTTTCTCCATTAAGAATTCCTATATAACCCATTTGCCTAACCTAGGCCGCCTCTCTAATCTCTCCTTCCACACACCATCACAGGAGAACAGTCGTCATTATTGAAGAGTTCTACCATCCTTTAACCAAACAAGTGTGGCAAAACTGTAATAAAAATATAAATCAAATGACGCTGGTCAAAACAAACTTTGCATTATAACGTTGCAAACAATTGTATTCAATACACCATCCTGCAGAGATCTGAAATTCATATTTTCCCTATGAAGTGCGGAAGAGGCAACAAAATGTCAATTCAAAAACTGGAATTACATTATTACTGGTGCAATTCTAAGGAGCAATCCTCTGTGGGTCGCGAGGGAACAATGATGTTTTCCGAATGTTATTCAAACCACAAAAAAGCATCACTACACGCTCCAAACCTACTCCGAATCCACCGTGTGGGGGAGCGCCATACCTGCAATGGAAGCATTGCACGTAAAGGAAAACCCCATCAAGACGTTGCCATCACAGTTAAATTTCGTTTATTCGGTTAAATTTCAACTTCGAGTAAAGGGGAAAAGAAAACAAAAGCATAAGAGAAACATACCTAAACGAATCGATGTAAGTTTCTATGGTTTTTACATCGATCCCACATGCTTGAGCGCGTTCTGTAAGAAATTCTGGCACGTGAACACGCTGAGCCCCAGAAATGATTTCTTCCCCTGCGTGAACAACAAAGTTTTAAGTTACTTATAATGGATCATATATTAGAAGATTTTGTTATATAAAATGAATATACACCATATTTTTAGGGAATAATAAGCACCAGCAAGACATTTATAGTGATGAAATAATATTTAATGTATACCTCGAATAAAGACATCAAATGAGTTACTGTAAGTTGGGTTATCATGGCAAGGCATAGTGTAGAATGGCCTAACAGACAAAGGATAGCGGTGAAGAATGTAGAACTCTGTGCCATACCTATAGTTAGGAAAGTTTGATCAGCAATCTAAAGATATATAATAATTGTACAACATCATAAGTTCGAAGTAGGGACATGAATTACTTCTCTAGGACGAGTCGTCCCAATTTCCTCTCAGCCTCTGTATTAAGATCCCCGAGAGGATCGATTTCAACGCCAGCATCCTGTGTAGATAATCATTCATAACCAAGAAGAAAATGTCATGACATTTGGGATTTGGGATCTTTCTACGATTTACCTGGCACTGCAGTTAAAAAGTTACAAAAAACAAACAAGAGAACTTCACCTTCAACATCTGAATTCCTTCCTCAAATGTAAGGCGTAGAGTGTTTCGCAAGTACTGCATAATCATGAACTCGGATCAAAGATTGAAATGAGAAGAAATCAATCTACTACCAAACTCAGTCATCTATCCACATTTTACATATTTATTGGCATAAATCCAAAGCCACAAGATTATCCAACACTTCGACACTATAAAGATTTCTGGGAAGTAGGTTATCAATAAAGTTCACCTTCAAAGGCTCAAAGGGATACTGTTTATCAATTGCTTCAAGCTCCTTCTTACAGTTTTGATTCATACTGTCGAACATTGAGACAAATAATCGGTCCACGATGTCCATGACCTGCATAGAAAAAGAAAAGAAATCAGATCAAGTATCAAGTAAAGATGACCATGACAAATAAAAAGTCAACTCAGAGCATTACCTCAGAATAATGGGTTTTGATCTCCATTTCAACATCAAGTCCTGTAAATTCACATAAATGTCTATGTGTGAATGAGTCCTCTGCTCTGAAAACAGGACCAATCTCAAATACACGGCCGAAGTCGCCGCAGATTGACATTTGCTTATGAAGCTGAGGTGACTGAGCCAGGCAAGCGGGTTGACCTTTGTAGTCCAACCTAAATACAGAAGCACCACCTTCACTGGAACCCCCAATCAATTTTGGTGTATGGATTTCAACAAAGCCTTCGGACAACAGAAATTGTCGAAATATCTGCATAATGAGAACAAACTCAATCTATGTTGCAAACCCTTAATTTACAATAATGCTAAGAAGGACTCAAACACTAGCTGTAAACATGCCTCATCAATTCCCTTAATAAATCTACAAATCAAACAAGACATTGCACGGAAAAATCATGGAGACCAAGTAAGAAAGCTATGCTGATGATACTAAACGTGGGCGCCATCAAAGACTCCAACTATTAATGGATGAAACTACCAGAGATCCACCAGTCAATAGTTTTTTATTCAAAAGATGACCGTCGAACTATGCTACACGAATCAAGCTGGCTGATAATAGTAGATATAGCTATCACGATCAACTTTGAATAAAGCCTGTATGCTTCAACTTGGTGTGATATAAAACATCCATTTAGATCAACAATTAAAAGAGACCTTTAATGACAATACTATCTTATTCTCGGGGCAAAAGAACAAGCTCTTGATAACTTATTCAATGTTGTGAGGCCTTTTGAAATGGCATCAGGGCTCAATGTCAATCATCAAAAATCAGAAATCTTAGGCATAAATATGGAAATACAGAAGGTGCATGATCTTGCAAATAAATATTGTTGCAAAGTGGGAAATTGGCCCGCCGTTTATCTTGGTCTTCCCTTGAATGGCAAGCCTCGGTCACTACAATTTTGGAAGCCCATTATTGAAAAGGTGGACAAGAGGCTTCTCTCTTGGAAAAATACACATATAACAAAGTGGGAAGGCCTACGCTCATCTAAGCCACACTATCAAACTTCCCTACGTACTATATGTTTGTATTTAAAACACTGGTCAAGGTGGCCTCAACCATAGAGAGAATGATTAGAAATTCATTTCGAAAGGCCATGGAGAAAGTAAGGGGCTGCATCTCATTAAATTTAAAAAAAAAAAAAAAAAAAAAAAAAAAAAAAAAAATCCTCCCACCTAAAAAAAATGGCACCTTTCTAGCACAGTGGATTTGAAAATCTAAAGCTTCTTCTCTCGCATACTTTAGGGGGTCATCATTTCGAAAATGAAAAACAAAAAAAGGCTTCTGTGGGAGAATTTTATTAGGGAATTTTGCTGTAGTAACTGGCAAGACAGGAACAAAATAATTTTCCAAGAGTAAGGAATACTTTTTTAGTAGATTTTTGTATGCTAAAGTCACTTGGCTGTGACTTGGTGTAAAGGTTCTTTTTCATCACTATAGCTTAACCTCCCTCCTTCAATTGGAGAGGTTTTTGGTAATCTCCCAATAGGGGTCTCCCCTCTTTTGCAATGACATCAATGAAATTGTTTCTAATAATTTTCTAAAAAATGGAACAATTAGAACCAGAAAACAGAAAATAAGATAGAAAACTCACTGTTCCAACTTGACATTGAATGCGAAAAATTCCTTGATTAGCTGGAGTTCGCATGTCAAGAACTCTGTAGTTCAACCGCGTATCCTGATTTACACGTACTAGTTGCTCACCAGCCTGCAGCCAACAAATGGGTCCGACGTTAAACAGGATGTGTAATTTCTAGAAAATTCTTATTTTATTTTTGGTATAAAAAATTAGCTTCAATAGACATAGAATGAAAGAAAAAACAATCATTAGATTTGGAACTTCTAAAATTCTCCAAATTAATTACGAAGAACAATGGAAATTAGACAATCGAGCTGAACAGATAATCGAAGCACGAAGAAGAACACATCGAAAGTGAGCGATAACAAAGTATACCTGCAACGCTTTTTCAATCTCAGCTTCACTACGGGCAGCATCCTCAATATTTATAGGCAGACTCGGCATTGCCTTACTGATGCAGTATACTTTCCTCACTTGAATCTCCACCTGCTGCGTAGCACCTTTAATGGCAACATTGGGCACAGACACGACTCCTTCAACGTCGACAATGGATTCACGGCTCAATCCAACGACATACTTCACCATCTGGCGACTGACGAGTTCCGGCTGCTCCGATACAACGCACTGCACGGTGAATCCCTTTTCTCTCACCACGAGAAACGCCATCTTCTTGGCAACAGCACGGATCGTCTGAATTCGTCCCCGTAGAATCACATACTTGTCTTTAAGCTCCCCCGTCAAAGAGCCAACCTGAGTCCAGTTCGCGACATCCTTAGCCTCCTTGGATTGAAGATCGGAGAGAGGTACATCGCCATAGTTAGCGGAGAGTGGGTCGTCCTCGACATTGAGAGACGAAATAGCAGCTTCGGCGGCAGCTTCCTGGCGACGGCGCAACTTTTCCAGCTTGGCAGCCTCCTTCTTGGCGGCCTTCTTGCTGACAGCTTTAGATGCTTCGTCACCAGCAGACAGGGGCTCATCGATCGGAGTTTCGGATGAAGCGGACATGGTTGCAGGAAGAAGATGAAGAAACGAGAGGGAATATTGAGGGCAATGAAGGAGAGATTGTAATGAAGAAGGAAGCGCAATAAACCTCTGCGCTGGTAAGATGGGCTGGACAAATACCATGGGCTTTGCGATGGTAATTATTTTCCTTTTTTTTATTATTTTTTATTTTTTAGTACAACGTATTTATATTTTAAATATTTTAAATATATATTTTATTCATTTATATTATTATTTTTATTTCCTAAATACCCTTATTAAATTTGATTATGCTTTTGCTAATATTATCTTCCAAACTTGTTGTCTTTCTTATTAAAAATAAATAATAAATGAATAATAAAAAAAAAACAATAATATTATCATAGAGTGGTACATGTATAAAATTTACAGGTATTTTAATATTTTAATATATATATATATAATAAAAAAAAACTTTAAATTTTATATTTTGTTTAAAAAATAACTATTGACTTTTTAAATAAATCCAGTGTATCATTAATATGTACATAGAAATTGTTAATCTTACGTATTATTAATATACTCTATAGTTGAAATTGTAATTAATAATTTATTACAATTATATATATATATATAGAACGTAACGGATACAATACTTCATTAATTGTGACTTTGTATCACGTTCAACAAAAATAAATAATTAAAAATAATTGTCAACATAAACATAGTTTATCAATAATTAATTTTTATTTTTTTACGTAAGAAATTCAATTCCTAGTACTATTAGTTTTTTTTGGAGTATTATAAGGGTAAATTAAGTAAAATAACTATTTATGGTAAAAAAAATAAATTATGTTACGTCAATTCGATGACTAACAAAATAACATGATGTCAATTCGGAGATTCTTTTATTCGAGGAAACAAAAGGATGGAGCTGAAATAACTCACTCAAAACACCTTTTAAAGGATTACGTGGTACAATTCGATCAAGCTCTTATTGAATAAATATTCAACCGGACTGTCGTATTCAATGTTTGTTCAAACAAAGACACAACGAACATGACGGGTTACCTATGGGTTACCTACTCTTAACGGTCAAAACGAACCCTTTCAATATACAAAATGAAAAATTTAAATTTCAAATCTTTGTTAAAAATTCAAACTTTCTACTAGCTGAATTATACTCAGCTTGGTAGGTACGAAATGATAAGTTAAACTAAACGTAATTAATAAATGTCGATATCCATCTAAAAATTTACCTAAGAACTATTCATAAAATGTTAGATTAACTTAACAGTAATTGACATACTACCTGGCTCGAAGTCATAAGCTTAAACACCCGTGCTCGATTCGCTATCCTTAAAAAAAAAACACAAAACCAATTAGGTTGTTTAAACAAAAATAAAAAGATAAAATGGATATAAATTAACATTTTAAACTAATAAATAAGTTCATAAAATCAGATCAAAAGAGAAGGAAAAGAAAAAAACATCCATACTGAAAACCCTACAATTCATCTTAAACTACTAATATTTCAACTTTTCAAGCATTCACACTAAGATATCCAACAAATTTCAAGATCATCAATGAACCAATGTCATTCAGAATTCCTACTAATACACTAAAATTCAAGGAAAATTATATCTGCACTGATTAATGCATATGAATCAAAAGGCCTTACCCAATTGTTGTAGCGGCTGGCATGCATGATGCTCTTCAAGATGCAGTATCAATTTCCAAGGGCAGAGTTAAGAACTGGTCTTTGTCTCAGCCTACTTTTGGCACCCACCTTTGTAATTTCATTGCTAACATGATGATTCCTGCTTGTATCCACCCTCTTACTGCACACTCCTCCTGCAGGCTCTTTGGATTGAAGCATTTCATTCTTCTCTTCTGCATCGAAATTATCAGAATCGAAATCGTTGCTTCTGTCGTCGTTGTCCTCATAATTCTTATCAATGTGAGCAGCGCTGTCAAGATCAGTTTCTTTGGTTGTGTTGCTTCCAGTGTCATTGTTGCTGCACTCGCCGCTGTTTCCAGAGGCATCCACTGATTTCCCACTAGTAGAAACATCTGTTCTATTGCGCTTGTGATGCATCCCTTGCTCTTTTTCATCAGTTTTTTTCACGTTCCTGAACAGATATTCAAACGTTTAATAACTGTGGTGATGTTTTAATTTACAGTGTGCACACCTTGTGGTGGATAAAGTTTATAGGTAAAACCCATGCAATAGAATAGAATGGAAGAGATAAACAAGGAGAACATAACATGTCCCTCGTAAGAGTAGGAGCATAGTGAAGCCATAAGGTCTTGCCCAAGTTTCAGAGGCGAATAGCGAGTTAGCAAAAGAAGGGAAGCTCTGCACGAGAATAGGAAGCTTAGTGTTGGGTAAGATGCTTAATTACTAGCGGCAAAAGCATATTCCGCCGCTAGAATCCTTTACCCATCCGTTCAAGGAGAAGATCCCAAGGAAGAACTTTATATGTGCTTTCTATTGGAACTTATGGCTGGAAAGAAATGTGCAGATCTTTACAGATGAGCAACAAAGTACTCTTACTTTCATTGAATCTACACCTTTTCTTGCATTAACTTGGAGTGAACTTTTCTACTCCCTTTTGTAACTATAATCTATCGTCCCTCCTGACATTGGAGGTGCTTTTTGTAATTACACACAGCTAGGATTTTGTGTAATCTATTTCGTCCATCAATAAAAAGGTTTCTGTTTCCTATAAAAATAAAAAGATATTATCTATGATAATCCCTTGGATTCCAAGATACAAACTACAAAATTGAGTTCCTACAACCGTACCATACTGATAGCAATTGGCCCCTACTGTTCCAGATGTTGAAAGCAATTGATGAACAAAAAAACGGCTGCACAACAAACCTCCTACATGATAGGCAGTAGTAACCAACATCCAAGTGTCCTCAAATGCAACACTACTACTCACATCCTAGAGGGAAAATGATACCCAAATATTAAGGCCAAAATTTGTATGCTTGTGAGCATGCTAAGACTAAGAGTAATTTGAACCTAGTGTCAACTGAGTTTTTTGAATATTTTTGAAGAACAAGTGTCTGAAATTAGTAGACTACAATGAATACTTTGCCCTACAAAAGCTGTGAACTCAGCATAAACACAACTAGCTTTCCATGCAACCAGGTACATATGACAACTTCCACCACCGAAACAAGGGAATATGAATATATGGTCGGTCTTGTCTACCATATTATATTGACTTTGGTTCATTCTGAATCATGTCAGTAACTTATTCTTTATAATCTTCAAAACAAAAAAGAGATAGTTGTTTACGTATTGACAAAAGGAATAAACTTACTATTAATTTATAAGTTTAAGTTTTAGGGTTCATTGGCGTTTTAACATTGAATGAAGGCTGAGTCTAAACCCCTAGACAATTACATATGAATATATACATATTATTTCACATAAGAAAATTGGAGAATATAATACCTACCATAAAGGTATATATATATATATATACACATTATTTCATAAAACCATTAAAAGTCAAAGATGTCAATGGAAAAAATATATATTGGTCTTGATCAGAACGTTAGAAAATAAATAAAGAAGGCAGTAAATCTATAAACAAAGAAATATGGTTTTTTTTTTTTCAAATTTATGAGAGAGAGAGAGAGAGAGAAGAAAATGTTTACCTAGATATCCCTATGGCGTCATCAATAGCCCGATTGTACTCCTCTGCACATCATTCCACAAATCAACACTTTAGTGGGAGGTGGTTAAGAATATAAAAAGTGTGGATGTGCACATAGATTGAATTTCTAATATCAACTATATTTTGGCAAAATTTTCAAATTCCCATCAACAACTGCCAGAATGTTGATCAATTATTAAGAGAGATTAGTAGAACAAAAATAATAATTCAACTCCACTCAGTCATCTTGACCTACATACTACATAGGAGACAAAAGATTATTCTTCAAGTCCAACTCTAATCACTGACAAAGCAGGAATAGTTCCAAAATGGCAAGCCATTTCGTCCTTTGTGTGTGTTCGTTGTAATATTACAGCAACAAAGACAAAAGAGTGAAAATGACAATACATTGGTTACTAGAAACGTCTGAAAATTTCAAAAGCAGTTAGTTTAATAACCAAAAGAATAGTGAAGGGAACTTGATTCTATACCAAATGTATAGTTCACGGGTGCACGAATCCGACAAGTGCGAGTAACTCCAACTACACAGGGCTTCTTAAAGCCATTCAAGAGCATGCTCTTTCTATGCTTACGTTTCAATGACCTTTCCTTGTTCTGCAGAAAACAAAAGCAGAGGCTTTATAACCACAAAAAACTAGTTGATCTCCAATCAGAATCAATCTACGACTTTTACATGGTACTAGCAAATTGACAACACAAAGCAGAATAATTAATCAAACACAAAACCATAATGATTAGGCAGCGACAACCTTCCGAAGTTTCTCAAGAACGGGAATGGCATCTGATTCAATTTTGCTTCCAACAGCAAATTCACTGCTGATCTTGCTGCATAAAAGGTTGTCCTGCCATTTGCAAGAAAGAAGTCATAACAATTTCTAAGCCCTTGGTAACAGACCTCAAATCCAAAATGAAAGGGACTGTCAACATACTTTAACTTTATGAAATTCCTCGAGACTTGTGGCCATTGTTTCCCATCGAGTGCTAAACTTTGGAAGGGAAATACTTCCGTTTTGTTTACCTTTTTTCTTTCTATCACATTTGATAACTTCCTTGTATAGTCTATAACCAACAAATGGATTCCCATCATACCTACAATCACAGTAAGAATTACTGATACAGTTGATCATCAACCTTCAAAAATTTGATGAAGACAAATAACTTCAACAAATTACCAATAGGAAACTCCATTTCCATCTCCTCCAAATTTATCTTTCTGGAAACAAGATATTTGAGTTTTATCTTTCGAGCAGTCGCTAATATATGATACTGCATCATCTTGCTGCAAATGAACAAATTAAAATAATTATTCAAGCTCGTGAAAACCCCATGGTGGGAAGATTATTTGATAAGTTTTACCCTAAACCCTAAAAATATATAGAACAAAATCTTTTAATAGGCAAAAAAAATTATAGAACATTATCCAAAATAGTTCACATATAAAGCAGTCTCCAAATGCGTACTCAAATTTATTCAATAAGAAACATGGACCAAATAAGAATAGATCATATTAATCCACGGTCTGAAGCATAGTGGTAATAAGAAAAATGAATGGTCATAAAAGTAAGCAATGAAAATGAACAAAGATACGAAACAATACATCAGCTCGAATTTGACATAGAGCTTTTAGAAGCAGTAAGCGTTTTGTCGGATCAAGATTATTGTAATTTGATATCTCCTCTCTGTATAAAAGAAACAATGGAACGAAGATACAATCAATAAATTTTCAAAATTATGCAGATACAGATATGTCATACAAGTAAATAGTATTATTGTAACTACCCTTTAAAGGCCTTAATTGGAATTTCCCCTTCAGCAACCTGCAATAAACACTCGTATGTAATTCTTATGCTACTGATACGGGCGAAAACAGAAGACTAAACCATGCACGACTGTATGAACAGTAACTTACCCAAGGCCACCATTGGGCGAGCTTCTTACAAAGTACGGTCACCCATGCATTAGAACCATTTAACATTTTACCTACAGGTGGTAGTATACCCTGATAACATAAACAGCACATTAATGAATCAAGGGCTCTATAATCCCACAAACCTTGTCTAAAGCACCACGAGAGATGGGCTTCCACTTCTAAGAGATAACTACCTGTTGAATAACTACAACGAAGTAAATGAATGCTGTTTTCATTGGTGTCGTTAAAACTTTCATTCAAAACACGTTTTGAGAAATGTATACAAAATGAGACCAACAAAAACACTCTATCCCAAATTCTCAATGGAAGGCATCAATTATTGGCAAGATAAATAAAATATCCTCGAGACGATGCTAGTAGACACGAGGGATGATGAAGATGCATCACGACGTTCATATGACCAAAACACACGCCTATGTATGATGCATAGAACGAAATCATAGTTTGAGTGAGATGGCCACCAGAAAAGACACAAACAGTCGTTTAGTAATGAAAATTGATAATCAGTGCATTTAAAGATATGAAAGAAAAAAAAAAATCTTCAACCTTCAAAAGAACAATGTGGAGTTCAGCTAATGAACTGTCGGGCTTTATCAAACCCTTCTCAATCTCTTCTGCCGATATCCTCAAGCTTTTCCCAATTAACGGCTCGAAAACCTCCATGGAAAAAAAAATTAAAGAAATAAACACATTAATTTCATCACCAATGCAGTATCTAACGCAGTTTCTTCCTCTCCCTATGAAAGGCAATGTAAACGGGAAAACAAACTCACATTCAAGAAGTTCAGAACCGATGCCAACTCCCATTGACCTCGTAACTTCAAAACCTCGGCTTCAAAATTCACGTCTGAATCAACTGCCATTGCTGAACCATCGACGTTCTCTTCTTTCGCCGACAGCTCGTCCTCTCCGGAGGCCTTCATTGCCGCCGGTGACCGACACGACGGAAGGACATCAGCCATGACAGTGATTCTTAGAGGACGGAAACTTGTTACAGATACAAAATCTTAGTGCGTTCTACTTCTACTCTTCTACTGATCCGATAAAAGTAGAAACCAGATGCCGCCTCAAGTTTCCTTTTTAAGAACTTTTCCCGCCAAACAAATTACCCAACGGGATTGTTTGATTCTCGGAAAAATGCCGCCGAACGAATGATTGATAGCCAAGCTGACGGCGGCACAAACAGACTCGCCCAGAGATCTTCCCCTTCTCCTTTTGCCCTTGTTCCAATTTCTCATGCAATTTTTACTCCGCTGTTTCCATTTAGGTTAAATTGGTTATATTATAAATCTAATGCGGTAAAAATAAAATATATTTTATTTTATCTTTTAATATCTAAAAAATATTTAATACGTTTTTAAAAATTAATTATATAAATAAACTTGATTTTCCTCATTAATTATTCTTTTAGTAAAAAGTAACAAAACAATTTTTTTTGGTTATTTTTTAAATTTCGAACACAATTGATAAATGTTTATGGGAGAATAACGTGCTCGTGAGGGAGACAACAAAAAAAACATTATGAAAAAAACGACATTAGTAGAAATGTCGGTTCGTGGAACATAAGAAAACGAGAATGAAAGGGGTTGGTCAGCAAAGGACGATAAATTTTCATCTACAAATGTATGAAATTTGTCGAGAAAATAATGGTCCCGATATTCGACTATATCTAATCATTTGTTTACCTTTCATTTTTTCTCGCTCGACGAGAAATTCAAACCCGCGCCCGTTTGTATATGCATATAGTTATAATGTTAAATTACAGTATTAATTACATTATTAGTATACTATTTTATGATCGTACTTATCTTAACCTTTTAAATGTTAATTTGTTATTTATTTATTTAACTACGATAAATAGAAATAATAAATTAATAAATATTTTTCCGTTGAAATATGTAAAAACAGGTAATATAAAATAAATGTAAACATATTAATATTAAAATTTAATATAAAGTATGGATGTTAAAATAAAAAATAACTGAATTAGGTTAAATTCCACACACGACAAATAAATAAAATCTTAATAATTATATGAAATAAAAAAATAAAAATTGATATTTTCTAGCGCGGAAAAAAATGGCGCGCCACAATCACGAGCGCGCCGTGGGAATTGGCGACTGTGGCAGCGCCAACGGAGTTTTTTCATTTTTAACCTTTTCACTGTTGGGCCATTTTCGCCGACGCAACTTTCCTGTCATTCATCCGCTTCAATTTTCCGAGAATCAAACAGTTCCACCTCCAGAGACGTCGCCATTTTCATCATCACGCTCATTATATATACGGCCAATTCAATTTTATCGCTTTTTTTCATGTTACCCAATTCGCTAATCCATTGTTCTTGACGAATTTCACTTGGAATCTACATTATGCGACTGGATTTTTGCCGGATTTAAGGTATGGAGGACAAAGAAACTGAAATTCTGTCACGATTGGCTGCAAATCATCTCTTTCTTGGCCAGTTTGAGCCTCTCCGTGCCACTATTGTTGCTCTTAGAGTTAGGAATCCCGAACTCGCTCTTTCTATACTCCAGACGATCGTATATCGATCTGGTCGATTCGACAATGTCACTTGGTCGCCCTCTTGTTCGTCGCCGTCTTTGTTAACGTACTTAGCGACCCTTGAATTGATTCAGTTCGATAAAGCTACGTCGATATGGGGGTTCGACCACGAAACGCTGCGGTTACGAGCGGAATTCTTGTTATTAGTCCAGAATTTAATCGACCGGATAGTGGGAAGCACGAGGAAGATGCTCGAATTGGAGAGCGTAAACAAAGAAGGAGGAGAAGAAGAAGTTTCGACCTCAAACGAAACTGTCGAGGAACGGGCTGATTTGTTGCGTGTCGAAGAGGGAAAGCCGGAAGATGTGCCGTCGGAAATCGGTGATTGCGTGCAGGTTTTGGATAAGGTTTTGGAATTGGGAGTGAAGAGATTGAAGGTAGAAGGTGCCAATGTCGAAGTTGACGATAGGCAGAGCGACGCTAGTCCCGCGACGGTGGGATCGGTTAATGAAGAAGAATTAACGTGTTTGAGCAGAGTAATTGGAGATCATGCAGACGCTTTTGATGCTTTGTGTTCGAATATTCAAAGACAGGTTGGGAGTTCTCAGAGTTATGGCCCAAGTTTGGCAATAACAGTGCGGAGTAACAACGATGGAAATGTGGGATTGAACGATGAGGAAGACGTCAAGTGTTTTTCTTCAATACAAAGATGCGTTCAGACAACCCATTTGGACCATTTGAAGGAGTGCCTGAAGAATGCGGATGTAGATGGTGCAATTTCTCGCATTCGTTTTCTTCACGTTGAGCGTGGATTGGACGAATCTGAGTACCGGTATGTTGAATTAAGATCGATTCTCAACTTAGTTACTTAAGTAAAAGAGATGAAACAGAAACCATACTGGCAGGTTTCTGGTATTTCATTTTACGCTTGAATGTTTCGTTGGCCCATTTTGTTTTTCATTAACTGTGATAGTTCTCTTGGTTCTTTGTTGCCTGTTGGTGTTTATCTTCACTTTTATTCAACTCTTATATAGCAAGGTTTTCCAAGACCTTCTGAAGATTATTTTGGCGCAAAAGGAGGCATGTGAAGGCGACTACGATGTTATGGGAGGAAGACTGCTTTCAGTTTACGAAGAAGCGCTTTCATCAAATTCCAGACACCTCATTGAAATGATACAAGTAATTTGTGCGCGCACTCACTTGCATATGAGCCCTTTATCTTTCCTGACCAGGAAAGCTCTAAATGGTACAACATTGTTTTTAGCAAGACACTGTAGTTAAGGTGACAGGTAGAATAAATGTCTTTTTGTCACAGATTATTCAAGATGAGGTGTTAGCTGAAGAGATTGAGATGCATAAAGGGCCCGATAACAATCAAATTCCACTCCCAATACAACGCTTTCTAAGTAATATAATGGAATTAAAACCTGAAATGAACTTGGACGAGAAGACAGCATGCCTAACAAAAGCAATATTTTCTTGCACGAGAGACTTGTACCATTATGCTCGTGTTTCTGGATCACATGTGCTGGAATGTATAATGGATGCTGCTCTCTCTGCAGTGAAGAGGACAGAGCTTGAAGAAGCTAACCATGTTTGTGCCTCGGTTTTGCTTCTAATGGAATTTAAAAGTGTAGAATTCATTGAATTTCTTTTGTTTGTTGTCTCTGAATCTCACTTGATTAGGAAACTTTCTTTCTTAGGTTCTCTTATTGTTTCCTCGCCTTCGGCCTTTGGTAGCTGCTATGGGTTGGGATTTACTGTCGGGTCAATTAAAAGAACGAAGGGAGTTGATGCAACTACTGTGGATCAGTAAGTCACCTGCCTTGCTGCAGGATGCATCTTCTGAGGTTAAAAGTCAGTTAGAAGATGTGAGCCTTTCCATGAAATTGATTTCTCTTGACTGTGTATGATGATAAAAGATGTCAATGAGATGACATATGATGCTTTGTTTCCTGCAGATATCTTGTGTGGAACATCTTTGTGACACTTTATGTTACCATCTTGATCTTGCTGCATTTGTTGCATGTGTCAACTCTGGTCGATCATGGAGCTCAAAATTCTCATTATTGCAATCTGGAAAAGGGCAGACGGTTGGTAGCAGAGTAGATACTAATTCAGACCTTTTTGTTGAGAACTTTGTATTAGAAAGGCTCTCTGTTCAGAGTCCTCTTCGGGTGAGTGTTTCTCACATGGCTTTTGAGAAATCAATTCAGAAGCTTACAATTGCATTCTTTCAAAAAATCAACTTTATTTCGTTTTATTGCATTAGTATGGGCATAATATCTCAAGTTGATGTTTCTGTGATTTGCACTGTTAGGCATTTTGTAATTTAGACCTGTCTTCATCGTATGGTGTTGTCTCTTTGAATTTCTCAAAGCCTATCTAAACATCTAATGATGTAGTTTTCTTTGCATATATTTTATTTTGGATCATGACGTTACATGTTTGAAGAATCTTTTATGCAGGTTTTGTTTGATGTTGTTCCAGGCATCAGATTTGAGGATGCGCTTGAGCTGATTAATATGCAGCCAATTTCTTCTAGCATTGCTGCAGAAAGGAGGTAGGGTACTGGGCTTACTCTGTGTATGTTCGTCGATGTTTTCTTTTCTTATGTTAGTTAGTAAGGCCCATTAATTGTTATTACTTTTTCTAGTTACCTGCGTTTCAATTTTGAGAACATGTCTTTTATGTTGTTGATGTAGTGGTTTTGTGGATTTAGTGCCCATGTTTCATAGTATGAACGAGCTATATTCTTATAGTTTGTCATCATGTAAGGCATGTGTTTGATGCTGTAGGGTTCTGAATATTAGAGAATTAAGTTATATTCTTTTTATTTGTCACTTGGAGAATATTTGATTTGACACCAAGGTATACATTAGTTTTGATCACCGAATATCATCTTTTTGTTTTGGTGAATCACATTTTTTTCTCTTAACGTTCTATACATTTCAAACTGTTTTATTTTACTTCTTTTTCTTTTGGATAGGATCCAAGATATTGAACTTATGCACGTGCGTTATGCCCTAGAATCAGCTGTTCTTGCACTAGGAGCAATGGAAAAGGGCATGACTGCTGAAAGAGATTATCATCAAGTTGCATTCTGCCATTTGAATGATCTTTCCAAGCATTTGGAGTCCATAGATAATATTGCACGAAAGGTTGTTTCCTTGTGGTTTGCCTTTTGTAACACACTCTGCATGTTAGCTATTTGTACTGGTAGTCTACCCTTGATATTGTTCTATTTCTAATTTAAGAACATAAGTGTACAGTTATCCGTAATTCCATCAGATATGGAAATTTGTCTCAGATTCTTTTTGAACTTCTTGGGAGTTAACTTATGATCGATTCATCTAAACAATGCTTGTGGGTTTGTAGTGGCCATAGAAATGAAATGACCTTACTTCTGTCTTTTTTTTTTTTTTTTTTTTTTTTTTTTT